CACCGATGCAGGGAGCGAGATGTATATTATAGAGCAGTTCCACGATTACAAGATGGTTGAAAACCGTCCTGTACTGGAGCAGGCTCATGAGATAATATGCATTGTTAAGGAGCTTGAGCTTCTGAAGTGCGAGTTACCGGGCAAGTTTGTCGCGGGTTGCATAATCCCTAAGCTCCCCAATTCCTGGAGGAACTTTGCCACCACTCTGAAACATCAGAGGCGTGAATTCTGTGTGGAGGATGTCATTGGCCATCTGAATGTTGAGCAGAATTCGAGGGCAAATGACTCGCACGGAAAAGGGGCCGAAGGGACTTCTGTTGCCAACATGGTGACCAAGAGGAACTTCAACTCCCACAAGTTCAAGGGAAAGAACGGTGTCCAATAGAATACCGACTTCAAGAAAAAGGGTAAGAAGACCTTCAAGAAGAACAAGAAGGATGAGGGCTGCTTTACTTGTGGTTCGACTGAACATTGGGCCAACAAGTGCCCAAACAAGTTTAAGAAGTCAGGACAGGACTCCAAGTCTGTCAACATGATTGTGGGCAACAATGAGAATGGTGCATCTGGGTACGGTAATTTATTTACTGTTTTTTCAGTGTTTCGGCCTACTGATTGGTGGGTGGATACAGGTGCAGGTGTTCATGTGTGTGCTGACATTTCATTGTTCTCTTCTTACCAGGTCACAGGCCACGGGTCCATATTGATGGGGAATGGCGCGAGTGCTTCTGTTCATGGTGTTGGCACGGTCAATCTGAAGTTTACTTCGGGAAGGATCGTGCAGCTGAAGAACGTGGAGCATGTCCCCGCCATCAAGAAGAACCTCATTAGTGGCTCCCTTCTAAGTAGAGAAGGGTTTAAGTTGGTATTCGAGTCTAATAAATTAGTTGTTACTAAGTATGGACTATTTGTTGGAAAAGGTTATGAGAGCGGAGGGATGTTCCGCCTTTCCCTCGCAGATTTCTGTAATAAAGTCCTGAACCATATTCATTCGAGTGTTAATGAATCTGAAGTTTGGCATTCACGTCTTTGTCACATAAGTTTCGGTGTTATGACGCGGCTAGCTAAGTTGGATTTAATCCCGAGTTTCACTTTAGCCAAAGGTTCTAAGTGCATGTCATGTGTGCAAGCTAAGCAACCTCGCAAGCCTCACAAGGCTGTGGAGGAGAGACACTTGGCACCGTTAGAACTCATACATTCTGATCTTTGTGAGATGAATGGCGTGTTGACTAAAGGTGGAAATAAGTACTTCATGACATTGATAGATGATTCCACTAGATATTGCTATGTATATCTGTTAAATACTAAAGATGAGGCTGTACACTACTTTAAAATCTATAAGGCAGAAGTTGAGAACCAACTTGAAAAGAAAAATAAACGAGTCCGGTCAGATCGTGGTGGAGAGTACTTCTCGAGTGAGTTTGATTACTTCTGTGCGGAACACGGTATTATTCATGAGAGGACGCCTCCCTATTCTCCCCAGTCAAACAGGGTTGCCGAGCGGAAAGACCATACTCTAACTGATCTGGTTAACGCCATGTTAGATACATCGGGTTTATCCAAGGCATGGTGGGGGGAGGCTATATTGACGGCATGTCATGTCCTGAATAAAGTTCCGACAAAGGATAATGAGATCACTCCCTGTGAGAAATGTGCAAAGAGAAGGACAACACTCTCGTACTTGCGTACTTGGGGCTGTTTGGCGAAAGTCAACGTGCCGATCCCCAAAAAGTGTAAGCTTGGACCCAAGACTGTGGACTGCGTTAATTTGGGCTACGCTAAGAACAGTGTTGGCTATAGATTTCTAGTAGTGAAATCTGAGGTACCTGACCAGAAGGTCGGTACAATTATGGAGTCTAAGGATGCTACATTCTTTGAGGATATTTTTCCTATGAGAGATATGCAAAGCACTTCTAGACAGGAATTTGAGGAGACTCCTGAGCCTGCCATTCCTATGGAATATTATGAACGAACACATGATGAAAATCCTGAGGAGGATGACGAGGAAACCCTTGGTAGGGGAAAGAGACAAAGGACTGCAAAGACCTTTGGTGATGATTTCTTCGTGTACCTCGTGGATGATACTCCCACTTCTATTTCAGAATCGTATGCCTCTCCAGAAGTTGACTACTGGAAGGATGCGGTCCGTAGCGAGATGGATTCCATCATGGTTAACAGGACATGGGAGATCACTGATCGTTCCTATGGTTGTAAACCATTGGGATGTAAGTGGGTGTTCAAGAAAAAGCTTAGGCCCGATGGTACGATTGAAAAGTACAAGGCTAGGCTTGTGGCCAAGGGATATGACCAGAAAGAAGAGGAAGATTTCTTCGATACTTATTCACCTGTGGCTAGACTGACCACCATTCGAGTATTACTCTCGTTGGCGGCCTCACATGGTCTTCTCGTCCATCAAATGGATGTTAAGACAGCTTTTCTGAATGGAGAGCTAAACGAGGAAATCTACATGCAACAGCCAGATGGCTTTGTGATAGATGGTCAGGAAAGAAAGGTGTGTAGGTTGCTGAAATCTTTATATGGCCTGAAGCAAGCACCTAAGCAATGGCATGATAAGTTTAATACAACTCTGACATCTGTTGGCTTCGTTGTTAATGAAGCTGACAAGTGTGTATACTATCGCCATGGTGGGGGCGAAGGAGTTATACTATGCTTGTATGTTGATGACATACTGATATTCGGAACCAACCTCAAAGTCATTGAGGAGGTTAAGTCGTTTCTGTCTCAGAACTTTGAGATGAAGGACCTTGGTGTGGCTGATGTTATCTTGAACATCAAGCTACTGAGAGATAATGAGGGTGGGATCACACTTCTGCAATCCCATTATGTTGAGAAGGTGTTGAGCCGTTTTGGATATTCGGACTGCACACCATCTCAAACACCATATGATCCTAGCGTGTTGATTCGAAAGTCAAAAGGCATGGCTAAAGATCAATTGAGATACTCTCAAATCATTGGTTCACTGATGTACCTAGCGAGCGCAACGAGGCCTGACATCGCATTTGTTGTGAGCAAACTGAGCCGGTTTGTTTCCAACCGGGTGATGTACATTGGCATGCTGTTGAAAGAGTTATGCGCTATCTGAAAGGTACTATGAACTATGGACTTCACTATACCGGAGACCCGTCGGTACTTGAAGGGTATAGTGATGCGAATTGGATCTCTGATGCTGATGAGATGAAGGCCACAACTGGGTATATGTTTACTCTTGGAGGTGGCGCTGTTTCCTGGAAGTCTTGCAAGCAAACGATCATAACGAGATCGACAATGGAAGCAGAATTAACAGCATTAGACACTTCTGGTGTTGAAGCAGGATGGCTTCGAGATCTTTTGATGGACTTGCCATTGGTTGATAAACCAGTTCCAGCTATCCTTATGAACTGTGATAATCAAACTGTCATCACCAAGGTGAAGATTTCAAAGGACAACATGAAGTCCAACAAACACATAAGAATGAGATTAAAAGCTGTCAGAAAATTAAGAAACTCCGGGGTGATAGCGTTGGACTATGTCCATACGGCTAAGAATCTGGCAGATCCCTTTACGAAAGGGCTATCGCGTGTAGTGATAGATAGTGCATCGAGGGAGATGGGTATGAGACCCACATGAGTTGCCATGGTGGTAACCCAACCTATGTGATCGGAGATCCCGTGAAGTAGGACCTGGGAAAACAAGCCAGTGGTGAACTGAGGAGAGTAACTTTACTAACCCACTCCGTTGGAGATGCAATACTCTCGGAAACTGTATGGAAGGATGATTATTGTCTTAATGTGTTCCAAGGCTTATATGTATAAGCAAGATGCTGTCCTACAGAGCGATCTTTGGAGGAACACACCTATGTGAGCCCGACTGCTAGTCACAGTCTATGAGATTGGGGTGATCTCTAGTAAGCTCATGAATAGGCCAGGAGTGTGACTTATATGCTCCACCTGAGGGGTCAGCCTTCGGCAACCCAGTACTAGTAAGACATGTGGTGAAACTTCTTTACGCCAAACTAACAATTTAAGGCATAGTCCATTGTTCAGTTGTGAAGGAGTGTAGCTACTTGCTGTAGGTGAAGCTCAACCTTAACAGGTCTTCACTGAAACACTAGTATATCAAAACAGCGTTTGGAACAAAGGACAAAGTGGGCCCCTGAGATCTGGTGGGGGATTGTTGAAATGTGAGATGGGCCTAGAACCCATATGACAATTTCAGATTTGATCTCTAAGGGCCCATGTAGGTGGCATGACAAGGTGGTGGGAAGTTTAGTCCCACCATGCTAGTGGAAGGAAAGTTGGAGTGGTTTATAAGGGTGGCTCTTCTACATGCTATTGGAGCTTGAGAAGAGAAGAGGCCCTCGCGCGCTCCTCCTCCGCCGCCCGCCTCGCCTCGCCTCGCCTCGTCACGCCGCGCCGCGCCGCGCCGCGGGTTGCGGGAATGAGCCGAGCCGAGCTCACACCTATGCGCTTATTTTTGCCAGTCACTAACGGAGAGGTTCTGACAGCAGGGCGGACTCGGATGTGGGTCAAGCCCACGTCACGCGAATCGCCCACCTTCGTTCCTTTGCTGCTGCTGCCGCCGGTGACTCCATCCCGTCCTCCGCGTACACGGTCGACGGGAGAGCAGGTCTCCAAAACTCCGTCTCTCTGGTTCCTGTACGGGAGAGAGACGAATATGTTTTTGGGAAGCGACTACGCGACTGCTCGCCTCCGATCCACTACTTCCTCTACGTCCGCGTCGTCTCCGTCATCACCATGTCCAGCGACGCCGAACGCGCCGCCGCCGAGAAGACCGAGGCCGACAAGAAGGCCGCCGAGGACGCTTCTGCTGTTGCCACCGCAGGAGCGGCTTCTGCATGGCCTACTGGAGGGTATACCGCGTTTATCCCTCTCCTGATAATTTCTGTATTAGCAGTGCTAGCATCATGTGTAGATTTGTCTACTATTTGCGTAGTACGTGGTTGTTTATATCAGTATCAGTATGTTGTTAGTTCTGTCAATGTCATGCTAGTTATCTACTTATGGATTAAATTAGTTGAAAAATTGCCTATTTTCTCAGCACCATTATCTTATCCAGAGGAACGCCCGAGTGTTGTGTACCCAACAACGCCATCCCCCAGACATCAGGAATATTACGAGGAGTACACACCAGAGGAGTACTTCGAGCCGGACGAGGAGGCCACGGTGTGCATTGGGAATCTACCGTATGACATTGACAAGAAGGACCTTGCCCTGCTCTTCAAGGATGTTGGCATCGTCATGTTTTCGGAGGTGAGCATTCTTTGCTCTTCATTGTCCTTGCCGGTAACCGATATATGAAAATAGTGCCCCGAATTCTCGATTAATGAGTAGTGTATGCATGACTAAATATGGCCCTGCAACTACTGGTAGCAAGATCACGCAGTTCTGTACTCCCCCTGTTTTCTGTCGTCATGTACATTGTTGAAGTCCATAGGGTGAGGCTGCTCGAATCTAATAGTATGTAGCTGATTTGTGAGCTTGTGTGATATCTTTACGTTGCAGATTGTACCTGTATTATCTTGTTTCGACCGATGCTTGTGCTGTGTGGAGATGCTGTTGATTACAGAATCATTACGTATTCATTTCTAGCCACTTGGTTTGGTCATTATACTCTTTTCATATCTAGCTTCTGAATAAACTCTCAAATAATTTAAGCATGTTTCTTATCAAGACTGAATGCATTGTTTCTTTGCCTTCTCTAGGCAATTCATTCGCTAAATGGATATCTGTTTCATCAGTGTTGTTGATAGGCAGTTAGACAATGAAGTTATTAAGACATGTATGGTTTTTCTTTGTTCTGAAACACAGTTTCTACTTTGTGTCTGTGCAGATCATTTATGACAGGGAAACAGGCGAGAGCTGTGGATATGGGTTTGTCACCATGAGTACTGCTGAGGAGGCCAAGAAGGCTGTGGAGATGTACAATCGCCGTGTGAGTATGTTTTATAAATGGTAGCTTGGTGCGGCTACTCTCCGTAAGTTAAAAAGGGCCTATTCTTCTATCGTAGCTGCAGCTACTGTGCTCAGAGTTGAGCAAGTATATGATTGCAGTATGGATGGAGTGTCTTCCCCAGGTTTGTATTTGCACACCTTTCATGTAATAGGATACAGTGGTGATGTGTTGTGGTACTGGTTTCTGGTTTGCATACAAAGTTAATCATTTTCATGACAGTTCCCTTGGTTTCTGATTTTTGGAACTCCTTAATCTGAAGCCCAACCCAATACATATCCTCATTCTGCCAATTTGTTTACTAGATCATGCAACGACATGCCATCTATATGAGACTGTTCTTTGACATAATTTGCTTCTTCTAGTTGTTATTACTTCTCGAGGCCAGTGTCACGTGTAATCGCTATGCTTAAGAATGTAATAATGGAAGTTTTCATGCTTTGCTGATTTACCTTTAATTTGAACATGCAGGAGATGGACGGCAGGCCCCTGACTGTGTACAAGACAGCTGCTACCAGAGGTGCCCAGACAGAAGAAACGCCGTCTCCCCACCCCTGTCGATCAGAGTCTTCTTCGTTCAAGATCTATGTGGACAATCTTTCCTGGAAAGTGAGCAACTCAAACCTGAAGCAGCTGTTCAGTGACTATGGTGAAGTGGTCGGTGCCAAAGTTGTTTACCACCGCGGAAGAGAAGCCGGGCGCTCCCCATTCGGTTTTGTCACGATGGCGACGCGGCAGGAATCGGAGAATGCCATTTGGCACCTCAACAAGCAGGTCAGTCAGTGCGTGGTCTGGTTGGTTGCCAGTCAATTGTTGTACGAGCAGATGAAGCAGATTTGGTTTTACTGAGATGATTGGAATCACGGTTGTGAAGCTAATTTTCAGGCACCATTTTCCTTGCCCGAACGGGGTATATGTTGACACATTTTCATGTTTTGATTTTGATGTTTGCAGGTTTGGTGGGGACGCAAACTGCGAGTGCAAGTCGCAAGAGAGGAAGGGACACGGTGAGGGTTTTAGGTGCTGGGCTTTGCAGGTTTAGGTAGGAGCATCATAGCACGCGTGATACTGGTCTAGATTCAGAGCCTCCATCAGCTTTCTTGCCGTGCTTCTCTTTTCGCATTTAGTGTTACTACTCCTGTAACAGACGAGTAGAAATCATAAGCATTATGCTTGGTTTCAGACCAATACTACTACCTCCGTAACTTATACTCCTTCCGTCTTCTTTTTTTGAATACACATAAGCATGTGTATCATTGTGTTAGAGAAGAAGCGGCAAAGAAGCTCGGTACAACGCCTTTCGGCCATTGCAACGCAAGGATTAGCAGCCACACACACCAGACACATCCATCCATGTTTTTAGTGTTAGATACATCCATATCTAGACAAATCTAAGACAACTAGTTTAGGACAAATCTAAGACAACTAGTTTGGGACGGAATTAGTATTTCATAGAAACCTGTAATTTTAATCATGTTGGCTAATGTATTCACGGCTAAAGCGTAAGCATACACTGAACCTACACACCCAGACGTCCTACACTATAGTAGGCGGCTTGTTCTGCTGCCCTCCTGCTGCCGCCGCGGGTGGTGCCACCGTCTCGTAGCAGCCTACAGCCAAGAAGGCAAACAACTCCTAAAGCTATGTTCGTTTAAACCTCTCTTGGAGAGGATTGGAGAGGTTTGGACGGGATTGAGGTGAATTTTGACTTATAGGGGATTTAGAGTCAGTTTGGTTGGTGCCCTCAACACCATGCCTGAGAAATTTTGATGCCTGGCACGAGCCTGGGAAACTGGAAAATATTGCCTGGTCAGGCAAGTATAGCGGAACCCTGTTTGGTTCACGACCTGGCCTGCTGAGCGCTTAAAAGTCAATTTGATGTCTGAAACAGCGATTTGATTCCTTCCCTACTGCCTCGTTCCTTGAGCACTATAATTAATAAGCCCAGGCGTCCAAATTCACATGCCTGGACGAGGCTAACCAGCTTGCCTTGTTTTGGGGCCAGGCTAATTGCGTTGTCAGATTTTGTGGCCAGGCTGGCTCTCTCATCACCGGGATCTCAACCAAACAGGAGCCAGGCAGCTCTCAGGAAGGCCCCAGGCCAGGCATCAAACATCCAGGACATGAACCAAACTGACCCTTAATCCTCCCCAATCCACTCCAATCCTCTTCAAAACTCTTGCAACCGAACAGGCCCTAAATTGAATCTGAAACCTCCAAATTTAGCCATCGCAGCTTCTCATGCGCCACAGGCTGCATAAGTTTCACAGAGAATGGCCTGCTTTCAGGTCACAAGCATGCATAGCAGCACGTATGGACACACATTTTGTAAACAGATTTCACGGATTCAACATCTATAACACAACAGCTCTATACATATTGAGTAAACTGGACATTTGTCCCTAACTCTCTCTGACACGAAAACGCAATATACGGACTTCAGGTAAACGACACTTCAGGCACTTACTTTACAACAGAGCGGTCTTTGACTCATCAGTTCAGACTTTTTCGTATGAGTACAGGCAGGCCAGGCCACTCCAGTGATTCTTCTCATCAAGCGGGCCAAAAAGTACTCCCTCCGTCCGAAAATACTTGTCATCAAAATGGATAAAAAGAGATGTATCTAGAACTAAAATAGATCTAGATACACCCCCTTTTATCTAGTTTGATGACAAGTATTTCCGGACGAAGGGAGTATAATGGAATAACTAGCTAGATTAGGATCTCTAACTCCAGACACATCCCTGGGGCCTGGAGGAAATACTCTTGAAGCTCCTCAGCCCTCACTATGTACCTTACACTTGCAGCATGATTCACCGATTTGATCCCACAATATACGCTCTCAATGCAAGAGCTCAAGACATTGCCAGATGCTTTTCTGCTTTGGATGGTAGTGTAGATAGCGGAATATCATATGATGTGCGGAAACGAACGCCGTTGCCTATGTTCCTCGATACAGGGCAGAACCAGCATAGCATGTTGGGGCCTAGGACCTGTCATAGGGGAAAGAGTTGAGAAAACTGATGCCTCATGGTTCCTGTAATACTTTTAAGAGATAAATTTACATATTAAGAAGCACTCTGAACTGGCGATTAGTCAGAAAAAACCCGAGTGCATATTTTAGGAACGCCCCCGCGCGGGCATGCCCCCACTATCAAGTGTGTCCACTTGCACATTTCGAAAAAGATTGAAATATTCCTAGTTATGTACTGTATGAGAATATTAGCAGTACCAAAAAAATTGTGCAAAAATATGCATATTCCACGCAAAATAAAAGGTTAATATGAAAAATGCCATATAAACCATGCTGGACATAAGAGATAGCAAGATGTAATAGTGGTCTGAATTTTTCTTGCCAAAATTTGCAGATATAAATGCTGTCTTTATTTTTGTTAACTTTTTTTTTTCTGGAATACTGCATTTACACCGTTTGAATGGACAGGTAGAAAGCATGGTCATGGACTTAGAGAGGCTATTAACAAAGTTACTGACAAGGCATTTGCATCATTGCATGGTAAACATACTTGAGTGCTGAATTGTTTGCGGTATATGTAAAAGAGAAGTGAATGGAAAGAGTTCTTACCGAAACAATATTATGATACACACCGAGATCATATGGATGATGGTAAAGATTTCCAGCCTTTTCTGCCAACCACATTGCCCTAACTCCTTCATGGTACTGCAAACCATAGCTACCATTATAGATAGGCAAACAATTAAGTCCTCAAAGAGAAGGGATCCTATTTTTCAAACCTCAATAGTAGTTTTATTATGCAAGATGAGGTAAACATGCCAGACCAAGAGGATAGACAATGCCAAAGTCATTACACACACAAAGACACCACAAATAACCTGCACATTTTTTACATTCTTGTGTTAGTTATCTAGAAGAATGTTTTATCTGCCAGCATTTTATATGCTGAAAACTGAAATAACTTTTTCAATTCACTTACTAACGATTTTCTTGGAGAATCAATTCCTGATTGTTCATCTTTAGGCACACTATGCACTGCGCCTCCAATCATCAGAGCCTTACATAAATTTGAATCTTCTCATGGTCAATCACAGCACAAGCATACTCACTAAAGTAAATCAAGGATATTAAAGTACCAAAGAATAGAAGCTTGCGGTTGCAGCGTACAGCACAAATACGAGGAAAATTTTGTAATTCTCATGCCCAACGCAATTGTTAATCCAAATACAGTGGTGGTCCTGCATAAAAAAGTAGCACAAATGCAAATAAGAACCACGCAATAGAAAAGTGTTACACGAATCATTGTCAATAATCAGCACCATTTTCAGAATACATCTCTTGCAGACACGACAATGATGCGCGCGAGGAGGTTTATAATGAGAACACTTCTGGCAGTATCTCAAATCACCACCCTGCAATGACAACATGGAGGCTGATAAGATATTATTAATAAGAATTAAATACAGGCAACAAGGTAAGTTGTATCCTATTGTACATCGGCAAACAGTCACATGGCTTTCAGTACACAGCAATGAACATCTATTTCGGTGACATAGATTAAGCTTGCCAAATCAACTGTATGTATGCGCATACAAGTCCGCCCATACATCATTAAGCACTCCATGCAAGACTGGACCTATAGTTTATGTTGAGATATATGTATTATCGAATAAGTAACGAAAGTAATCTGTATGAGATTCAGGAATATCACACTTTGTGCATTCTTGCCCCACCCTTCAGCTGAAAATGGCTCCTTTTATTCATCAAAAAAAGGGCAACCTGGTGCATGTAGCTCCCGCTTGCGCAGGGTCCAGGGAAGGGTCCGACCACTTTGGGTCTATAGTACGCAGCCTTTCCCTACATTTCTGTAAGAGGCTGTTTCCAGGACTTGAACCCATGACCTCATGGTCACAAGGCAGCAGCTTTACCACTGCTCCTTTTATTCATCAATCAAATATTAAATATTACAGTCAGGGACCCATGTTGGTTCAGGGGTATACCAGACATACACACAGAAGTTTTGGAAAAAGATAGGTATTTTATTTTCTTATTTTTAGAAATAGGAGGGCCTCCATTTTCCATTATGGGAAACCCCGAGAAGTTCTTACAGACTAGAAGTTCTGTGCAGCAGAAAGCTAACACAAAAAGCTTGCTATATAAACATAACAAACGGAAAATCCCTCTTGGTGATGAAGCACACAGAAAAGGTGCACCATCCAATGCTCCAACCCATAAGACCAGTCCGAACAAGGCACTGACAGCAACAGCTTGAAGCAAGCAAAAGAACCACATCTCAGTAAAATGTGCACATCTTAATATTTATACAGATCAACAATAGAGATAAAGAGTTTGTTGAGTAAAGCCATTTGTTGAAAACAGTAGTCTGTAAAATCCTTGCCACGCAGATCGCAAGATACAGAAGCAAGGCAATAAAATACAGAGGAACAGCAGAGTTCAGAGGGAAGAGAGAGCAACTAAGGAAAAAAAACAAATTTCTCTTTTCATTTCTTGAGAGCAAAGACAACAGGAGTTATATATCCTTCCCTTACGACTCAGATCCACCTGCTAAATAATCCGATATAACACACACCACTACAGGTCACATGAAACACAAACGTCAGCAAATCGTTAACCTCTGCCACTAGCGACACCCACTTGTTCTTCGGGTTTGTCATTGGCGGTACTGGTGCCGGTCATGACATAAGCATAAATAAAATCCAAGCTGACCCATTGGTAGGAGGCACAACTAACAACTGGCAGCTGGTCGCGACATCGGTTCATGTTTTTGATCAGTTGCGTCACCTTTGTGCTTGAAAATGGAAAATAAAATCTATGTTTATTCTTTTACTTTGTTTTTTAGTATGTTGTCCCCCTT